TGACCTGGATTGAAAAATAGGCTACTTCCTTAACCGGTTTTCCGATCAGAACGAAATTTAGTACACTTACTACGGATTTCGGAAGGATGGTCTTAGACTGAAAGTAAGTCCGATAACTCAAGGCCCCTCCCATACAAATTGGAATTTTCATATTACATACATATCTCTGGAAGTATTTGTGGGAGAGAACTGAAACTTGGTATAGTGATATGTATGTGAAATCAATGTTGGCATTAATCGATTGATGTTTTAATTAGTTAGTTAATTCGATTAAATTCAATCTGATTACAGTTAATCATGATTAATTTTAATCCGACTAAACAGTTAACCGTACCGCGATTAAAAAATTAATTTTTAATCATTAACTCTTAATTTGATCAAGTAGGTTTGGTGATTAATTAAGTTATGCTGGAATTTTCCTGTGCACACAAAGCAAGTTAATCCAGTATGGCTAAGTCGGGTTTCCTCATCAATCTAAGCAATTTGGTGTGCATTTTCATTAAGATATATACCAACAAACGTTTTACAAACTAGGTTTGTAAAAGTTCCCAGTTTATGTATTACTAATAACAATAATTATTATTTTTTTATATTACGTGCTTTTTATAAGCGTAAAACACAAAATAATTACTATAACTGGTGTTTGGTTTCAAACTCGGACAAACTAGACAAATTAATCAGATTTTATTTTTAATTGGATTAACGATTAATGTTTTAAATTAATTAAACGTAATCGCAGCCAGCGATTAACGATTAAAAAAATGTTATCATTAATCGTACAGTTGATTACGACTAATTAATTTTAATCGTCAAAGGCGATTAACATTTTAATCGTTAATTTTTAATCGTTAATCAGATTAACAGTTTGCCAACACTGTGTGAAATCATGTTCATATTCACGGAGAAAAATGGACGTTTTTGGAAAAGAGGCGTAGCACCTCCCATACTGACTGAAAGTTTCATATTGCATATCTCTTCAAATGTTTGGGGTAAAGCACTCAAGCTTGGTATGGAAATACATATGTATGCATGTATGTATGTGAAACTAATACCATACTCATGGAGAAAAATGAGAGTTATTGGAAAAGGTGGTGTGGCAACTCCCATGCAAATTGATTTTTCTATGCTGCATATCTCTGGAGGTGTTTATTGCAGAGGACTGGAACTTGGCACCGAGATGTGTATACAAAATTAATTCCATACTCATAGAGAAGAATTTGCATTATTCGAAAAGGGGACATGGTTCCTGCCGTACAAATTTACTGTTTTATACTGCTTATCTCTAGAGGTGTTCATGGTAGAGTACTGGGACTTGGTACTGGGGTATGTAAAATCAATTCTAAATTCATGGAAGAAGATTAGGGTTATAAGAAAAAGGGGCGTGGCACTTCCAGTACAAATTTACTTTTTCTTGCCACATATCCCTGGAAGTGTTTGTGGAAGACAGAATAAATTTCATTAAATGGAAAAGGGAGAGCCGGGTTCGACCTTATAATCTAAAGCTCTCTTGAGGCATTTGCTACAGTAATGAGAAGTGGTATTTCATCAAGGCCAGCTTACTAAATTTGAGTTGGAAATATTAGAACTCGCCGTGGCACCTCCAAGAAGGTTTCACGTTCACGCGTCGTATACCTGGAAACCTTTTAAGGTAAACTTAGAGGGAGGAGAGAGGAGATTTTATAATTTCATAGTTTTAAACGGCCTAAATACCTTAATTCGCTTAGAAAATAACGAGCTATAACGAAATGGGCACAGAAATAAAATCTAACATCATTAAATTATTTTTCCTATTTGTATAAAAGCGCGGGGTGAAACCCGCGGGTATAAGCTAGTATGTATATAATTCTTCTGTAGGTATGTTTGTGAGTGAAATCCTAAATGGCTGGAGGGATTTCAGAAAAGTTGTGTGTGTGTGTTTGAATGAGTCTCTGGATAGTTTAGTTTCACAATTTAACCCGCCAGTTGGCGCTGGAGTTGAGTTATTACTAAAAATCTTTTTTTTATGATCCGAGTTGACGAATATTCAAAACATGTATTGGAAACGGTAAAGGAAGTCCAATTGCAAAAAAGAGTTATTACTAAAAATCGACAAGTGAGAAAGGTGCCGTGAATGTCAGACTAAATCGACCTGCTGCACCATTGAGTATATCGAACTCTCGTGTATTTAGGGATGCAAACGATGCATCGTTATTTTTGAAACATCGATAATATCGATTCGAAATTCGATGTTTGCCTTCGATGTTTACAATTTCCTAAAATCGATAAATAGACGATATATCGATGCAAGTTTCACCGATGTTTTAACATCGAATTATGCTCCTAACATTTTTTGACTGGCCATGAATTTTAATATTTATTCTTTTAAAAGGAATATTCAGAAATGCTGAGTTTATTCTTATCTGTCGATATTAAAAATGCATACTTAGTCATTAAAAAAGGACCGGGATCCCGTTGAAATTTCAACGAAATTGGGCCTTGGAACTTTAGGCTCAGCGAACTTACGACGGCATGCATTTCTATTCTCGATTAACCATCGATATATCGATGTTTTTCTGGCGATGTATTTTAGCATCGATGTTCATTTTTCCGATGCATCGAAACATCGATGTTACTCCCCAAAATTTCAATCCCGAGGTAAATTACGATTGGTCTAATGGATGTGATTTGCCAATATTATTATGCGTTAAAGCTTCATTCGAACATACCATGATTTGTGCAGTGGTAAATCTCAAACCACTACCTGTCGAAATACCTTAAAAGCCAGTTTAATAAAAGCAATTTAATGAAGATTTATTTTTTTAATTGAATTTAATATAGAACCTGACAGAAAAAAATAATTTTTCACTTAAATTGCTTTCGTGAAACTGGCTTTTAAGGTATTTCATCTCAGTCTATGTATGTATATTGTATTTCTGTTGAACAAGGATACGCATCCATTTTGAAATTGCCACCAACTATAAGATAAAGTTTCTAGGGCAAATTCACTATAGATCCGGATCATTGTTGCCGCCGGGAACCTTCTTCATGGACATAACACTTTCGGAAATCGTGGACTGCTGGAGAAAATGTTGGACCAAAAAGATTAAATTAAAAATCTAATTATGGGCGGGACGAAGTTCGCCGGGTCGGCTAGTTTTAAATAAAGAATATAGATTTTTTTAATTTTTAAATTTTATAATTTAGCTTTAAAATTACAAAAAAATTTTGTTGAATTAATTTTTTTTATTTATTAATATATTAAATTATTTCATAGCTGTAAGTATATATAGTGTGAAATAATACAAAAATTGTAATCGAAATTAGAGTTATAATAAATTAGAGTTCAAAATTACTGTCAAGTGTAAATAAATGCTGTCACTCACATGAACACGAGCATGCGCACTCGGATGCATTCAACGGTCAAGTAGCGTGCAACTGCTATGTTGTGTCCTGTCTATCACACAGACCTCGGACGCCCTACTTTCTCTCTCGCACCTATCAAATTCAAGAACTTTATAGCTTGGCAATAATATTTTATGTACGATTTTTTGCAGGCAAGCCTACATGATTGGTTTTGTAATAAAAATATCTTACCTATGATATCAATTTCGATTGGTTAACAGATCGATGTAGTTACCTATATTGACTTACCTGTTCACATCTACTTGCCACGTAGCCATGCACAGAAATAAGTAATCAAGCCTACCTAGGCATATTCTGTGCGTTAAAAACTATCAATTGAGATAAAGCTCATTCGGTTATCACTAGAGTGAAGGTGGTGAAAGAAAAATGATTAAAATTAATTAAATTAAAAATAGCTATGACCACTTTTCGATAGGCAATAATAGGCATATTTGTTTATAAACTATATTTGATAAAAAATATGTCTCATCGAGTTATCAGATCAGTGAAGGTCGATCTCCCACGGTCTCCTCTACTATAATCATAAAAGCTTCGTGAATCGAAGCGCCCAACATTGTAAGGCGCTTGCAGTGTTGAAATCATCATTTGTTTCTATTTTGTGTTGGAAATAAAATTTATTTTGTGTTGGAAATAAAATTTATTTGTCAATTCAATAGAAAACAAGTAATTTTTAGCAAAAACAAAACCGACTTCAACTCCAATACAAATATATATATATATATATATATCTCATGATCCACTGATCGGATCTCAACCAGATTAGTATGGGACCACCTTCCGGTGCAAAAAGAATTATCAAAATCGGTTGACGTGGTCCAAAGTTATGCGGTAACAAATATAAAAAAATAAATAAATATTCCGATGAACTGATAACCTCCTCCTTTTTTGGAAGTCGGTTAATAATTGAAAATGAATGATTTCGTGCTAAAATTCGTGCAAATTGTATTAAACCACAAGCGTTTATGCAATATTTCGGAGCAGAAATATTTGCGGAAGTGCGTAGTTGCGAAAGAACGGTCAGAAAATTTGTTATGTGTAGAAAGTGCTTATTAGCTGGTGACATATGCACGGCGTTTAAGTGTACAGAAGTCGAGTCGTCATGCATTACTCTACTTTGATTAGGCTCGTAATGTGCCGAGTGCCTTATAGTTGCTAAAAATTCCAATAACAAAAAAAAAGTTTTTTGCCGACTGTATTGTTAATTTTCTTAGATAAAAAAATTCATGTAATGTTAAGAGATGTAAAGAAGAGAGAAGTTTCGCTAAAACCGACATCGATAGTTTTCAAAAACTATCGATAGTGGCGACAGTTTTCAAATATCGATACTATCGATAGTATCCCAGCTCTACTGGTGATGACGCTGTTAAGGTGATATCTCTCTATAAAAAGAGGACTCTGTCGTTAAAGAAGCAGCTAGATGACATTAACCAGCAGTTGTCTCCGGACTCTCTAAGAAACTTGGATGAGGTGGACATTGCTATGTATTTGGAATTGGTTGAGCGCTTCGCACGAGTTTTGACGACGCTCAATCCTGCCTTGAAGCTGAGGATCATAGCGAATTGGCCAGTGAAGTCAGTTGGTCGTTCGCTAGGTTACACATGAAGGTTAAAGGCACTCTCACACGTGAACTTAATCAGCGCAGGGCCGACGTTGCGCACTCATCAACAGCTCGTCCATTCGAAATCGATGATGCATCTCCATCGTTTATTATTTCTCAACGCAACCGGCTTCCTGAATTGCAAATTCCACACTTCAGTGGTGCATATACAGAATGGCCAGACTTCATCGCAATGTTTAACTCGGTTATTAAGAGCTGCGCTGAGTTAAGTAAAATTGAAAGGTTTCAACATTTGCGGGCAAATTTAAGAGGCGCTGCCTTGGATACAGTTCGTTCCTTGGAGCCAAGCGATACCAACTACGACAAGGCATTGGACCTCTTGAAGAAACGGTTTGGCAACCGGCTACTCAACTTTCAAGCGCATATAAAAGAAATGTTTGCGCTCAAAAAGGTGGGGAGCGGCTGCGCTTCTGGCTCTTTACAAACGATGGCAATGGGGGAGCATATTTCTGATGAATTTCTGATATACCTGATCTCTCAAAAGCTCGATACAAAATCGCAAATCAAATGGGAAGAAGATCTACCAATAAATTCACTTCCAACTTGGACATCTACGGCAACGTTCCTGGAGAAGAGGTGTCGCATGCTAGAAAACGTGGAGGCCACAGTACCAGCAGCAAGCAGCACTTCCGTGGGAGGCAAACGTTCACCTCGCGGTAACAGCAGTTCTCGAAAGGCACTTGTAACATCTTCAAGCTTATGTTCGTTTTATGGTTCCACTAGTCACTGGATTTATGGTTGTTCTCAATTCAGAGACTTATCACCTGCTTCGCGTTATAAGGAAGCCAAGCGCCTACAGCTGTGTCTCAACTGTCTTCACCAAGGCCACACATTAAACAAATGCAAATCAGGACATTGTCGGCAATGTACATCCAACCATCATTCATTGCTACACATGTATAAAGGTGAGCAACCTACATCGTTTCGTTCGGCCGACAACACAGACGCTGGAATGGCACCAACGTCTTCGATGAGAGTGCAGCAAGTAGCCACAGCTGCATCCTCAGAAAGCTTCGTCTTGCTGGCAACAGCCATTATACATATCAAAAATCGTACAGGGTGTTACGTTCCCTGTCGCGCACTGCTCGACTCCGCCTCTCAGGTAAACTTTGTTACATGGCGCCTGGTAAAACAATTAAAATTAGAAACGAAAAAGATAAGCACTTCCATATCTAGTATTGGTGAATCCAATTTCGTCGCTGACAGGGCAGTTGACATTTTCGTAAGGGCACGTAGTGATGACTACACTTTCTCCTTTGAAGCTATCGTCGCCAACACCATCACCGAACACCAGCCGAACTTCGACCTAAACATCGATTCGTGGAACATTCCGCCGAATACCAAACTCGCAGATCCGCTTTTCTATAAATCGCATTGATGTCTTGCTGGGAGCATCAATATTCTTCGAGTTAATGTGCGTTGGCCAAATTATGTTAGCCAAGACCCTTCCAATCTTACAGAAGACCAGATTAGGATGGGTCGCTTCTGGTGGAGGAATACATTTCCACAAATCATCGGCTTTAGTTGCAATTCGTTTTCAGTCAGAAGAAGAGGAAGCTAGCCTCGATGACCTTGTCAAGCAATTCTGGGTAGTCGAGAGCTGCTCAGTTCTGCCCACTCAATCGCAGGAAGAAATTAATTGCGAACTCCACTTTCAACAAAATTATATTCGGCTTGATTCTGGTGAGTATGCTGTACGACTACCGTTAAATCAAAACTCTACTAATCTTGGCGATTCATATACACAAGCCAAGCAACGGTTTTTAAGTTTAGAAAGAAAGCTGCAGCAGAAGCCCGGAATTAAAACTCAGTACTCATCATTCATGCATGGATATGCTGAGCTAAAACACATGTCACCTGCAAGGTTGGAACCACAAATGAAAAATTTCTTTCTACCGCATCATTGCGTTCATAAGGCTGACAGCACAACCACGAAATTGCGAGTCGTACTCGATGGCTCCGCAAAATCAACCAGTGGATATTCGTTAAATGATGTCCTCATGGTTGGTCCATTCAGCCTAAACTCTTCAACACACTTTTGCGTTTTCGTATGTTCAAGGTAGCCTTAACGGGAGATGTCTGCAAGATGTACCGCTGCGTCCGCATTTTGCATCCGGATAATTACTTGCAATGCATCCTATGGCGAGGCGACCCCAAAGCGGAATTTAAGGCATACACACACGACACGAGACGAAGAAACAAACTTCCCGCTTGGAGCACAGATCCTTCGCCGAGATTTTTACGTCGACGACCTCATCACTGGTGCAGACACCCTGGAACAAGTGATTGAAATTCGTCGCCAAACAACACAGCTACTTCGCAGGGGAAATTACATTCTTCGAAAGTGGTGCTCAAACATTTCTGCATCTCTCAATGGAGTGGCTGAATTTGACCGTGAGCCGCTGCTACAGTTCCGCGATGGTACGCACATTACATAGGCGCTTGGACTAGTATAGGAACCAAAATGAGATGACTTCATTTTTTCACTTCCACCTATAAGAAATCACATACAGGTAACTAAAAGCGTCACATTATCAACAATAGCTCGGTTTTACGACCCACTAGGACTCATACCTCCAGTTCTAACTCAAGCAAAAATATTCATACAAAGCATGTGGAAAGAACGAGTTCACTGGGACGAAAGTTTGCCACAGCATTTGCACAAGAGTTGGACCGATTTCTGCGATGAACTTGAATTAGTATCCAATTTTCATTTCCCACGATATGTACTAATGCCAAATTCTCACTTAGAACTTCACGCATTTTGTGATGCTAGCCTAGCTGCGTACGGTGCATGTGTATATGTTCGAGCGCCATACATCTATGAAGTCAGAACCAGCATATTATGTTCGAAATCAAGAGTAGCGCCATTATAGACTCTCACCATACCAAAGCTCGAGTTATGCGCAGCCTTGCTACTCGCTGAGTTATTGGACTCGGTCAGGCAGACACAAATATTTGATTGCAGCATACACTGTTGGTCGGACTCAACCGTCGTGTTATCGTGGCTACGGGAGGAGTCTTCAAACTTCAATATCTTCGTTTCAAACAGGGTCAGCCATATACAGACGCTAGCTAAGGTGCTATGGCACCACATTCCAACTGCGCTCAACCCAGCTGACATCTTGTCACGGGGAGCATCCCTAAGTGAGATTTTCAATTCGCAACTTGGATGCACGGTCCATCCTTCTTACTTGGAGATCAGAATGATTGGCCACCAGCACCTGATTTTCTCATCGACATGCCAGAACGGCGGCGCACTACTCTAGGCGCAACAATCCACCTTGAAGATATTTCACTGCGCTGTAAGTATCTAAATTAATTCAGCGCCATGCAACGAGTTTTTGCATACGTTTCAAGGTTCATGGTAAGAAAAGATCCCACAACACCGAAGACGTATGGCGCGCTTACACCTGAAGACATCAAACTTGGAACACCACTTTTATTACGCCTGATCCAGCAGATTCACTTCGCTCCCGAGTACAAAGCTTTAAGGGCCAAAAGAAGAATTGAATCATTCAGCGCAGTATACTCATTCAATCCGTTTCTTGATGATTTCGAGCTAATAAGGGTTGGTGGTCGCCTTGAAAAAAGCTTAACAGCCTCAATTCGATTACAATTTTGGCCGATTGGTAGGCGAAAGACCGTAGCCGATGTAATCAACAAATGCTTAAGGTGCTTTCGGATGAAGCCAAAGGTTATGGAACACATTATGGGTGATTTGCCAAACACAGAGTGCAACCATGCAAGCCATTCTTTATAACCGGCGTTGATTTTTGTGGTCCTTTTTTCTATAAGTCCGAGGTACGCAACAAGGGTCCAGTAAAGTGCTATATTTGCATCTTTATTTGTTTTGCTACAAAGGCAACGCATTTGGAGTTGGTGTATGATTTATCTACCGCTTCGTTTTTGGCAGCTCTCAAGCGATTTATTTCAACGCGTGGGAGACCAAAAACAATCTGGTCAGATAATGCTACAAATTTTGTTGGAGCGCGGAATGAATTAACAGAGTTAAAAAATCTTTTCTTGTCCACGTCCACTTCTATCGCGTTGTTGGTCTCTCTGTACTTACATTCGAAGAGCTGCGTACTCTTGTATGCAAGGTATGTGCTATAATCAACTCTCGACCCCTTTATGCAATTTCAGAGAATCCTGATGACTTGGAGGTTTTAACGCCGGCTCACTTCTTGATCGGAGCGCCATTTACCAGCTTTCCAGAGCCAAACGTTACAGATATTGGGACCAGTCGATTAGATCGTTGGCGGCGTTTGTCTTTCATGCAGCAGATGTTTTGGAAGAAATGGAGCACGAATTACCTAACTATACTACACGAAAGAAACAAGTGAAAGGCAAAGGTCCCGAACATTCGAGAAGGAGCAATGGTTTTGTTAAAGGACGAAAACCTTCCACCATTAAAATGGCAATTTGGTCGTGTAGTAGAGATTATTCTTGGCAGAGAAAAGGTGGCCAGAGTGGCTTTTATCCGGACAGAAAATGGCTTAATACAACGAGCCATTAATAAAATTGAACTTCTGCCTATGGTAAATGTTGAAGGCCAGAGTCCTTCAACGGGGGAGGATATTAAGGGTTAAGCATTGCTGACCATTTAAAGGTTAATGGTGTCTGCGCGATCGACTCTTTCCTCATTTATCTTCGCACCTCATTCGCCGTAGTCAACTCCAGCTAACCTATTGTTTTGTTAAGTACTTATTTTGTATATCCACTTCTATATGTACATAAAGATCACATGCATAATTATGTGGGCATATGTATGTAACTACATGTATGTATCTTACTAATATTATAAATGTGAAAGTTTGTATGTTTGGATGTTTGGGAAATCATCACGCGGAAACGACTGAACGGATTTGCATGAAATTTTGTACGCGGATAGCTGATGGCCCAGATTGGTTAATATACTATTTTTTTTTTAAGAGTTGCCACCTGTTAAAAAGTTTAATTTATTTAATATGCGGGAACGACTGAATGGATTTGTATGAAAATTTGCACAAAGATAGCTTATGGCCTAGATTGGAAAATAGGCTACTTTTTTTTTTAAGAGTTTTTAAGAGTAAAAAAGTTTCATTAAATTAATACGCGGAAACGACTGAATGGATTTGCATGAAATTTTGCAAGCAGATAGCATACGACCTACAGTGGAAAATAGGCTAATTTTTTGGAAGAGTTGCCACCTGTTAAAAAAGTTTAATTAAATTAATACGTGGAAACGACTAAACGGATTTGCATGAAATTTGGCACACAGATAGCTTATGATCTAGGTTAGAAAGTAGGCTACTTTTTTTAAGAGTTTCCACCTGTTAGAAATGTTTAATTTAATTAATACGCGGAAATGAGTGAACTGATTTGCATGGAAGTTTTCACACAGATAGCTTATGAGCTACGTTGAAAAATAGGCCACTTTTTTAAGAGTTACCACCTGCTAGAAAAGTTTAATTAAATTAATACGCGGAAAAGTCTGAACGGATTTGCATGAAATTTTGCAAGCAGATAGCTTATGACCTACAGTGGAAAATAGGCTAATTTTTTGGAAGAGTTGCCACCTGTTAAAAAAGTTTTAATTAAATTAATACGCGGAAACGACTGAATAGATTTGCATGACATTTCGCACAGAGATAGCTTATGACCTATGTTGGAAAGTAGGCTACTATTTTAAGAGTTATCACGTATTAGGAAAGTTTAATTAAATTAATACGCGTAAATGACTGAACTGATTTGCATGAAAGTTTGTACACAGATAACTTATGACCTAGACTGGAAAATAGGCTACTTTTTTAAGAATTGCCACCTGTTTGAAAATGAAATTTTGCTCAAAGATTGTTTATGACCTAGATTGAAAAATAGGCAACTTCCTTAACCGGTTTTCCGATCAGAACGAAATTTAGTACACTTACTACGGATTTCGGAAAGATGGTCTTAGACTGAAAGTAAGTCCGATAACTCAAGGCCCCTCCCATACAAATTGGAATTTTCATATTACATACATATCTCTGGAAGTATTTGTGGGAGAGAGCTGAAACTTGGTATAGTGATATGTATGTGAAATCAATGATGGCATTAATCGATTGATGTTTTAATCAGTTAGTTAATTCGATTAAAATCAAACTGATTACAATTAATCATGATTAATTTTAATCTGACTAAACAGTTAACCGTAACCGCGATTAAAAAATTAATTTTTTTCTTAATTTGATTTGGTGATTAATTAAGTTATGCTGGAATTTCCGTGTGCACACAAAGCAAGTTAATCCGGTATGGCTAAGTCGGGTTTCCTCATCAATCTAAGCAATTTGGTGTGCATTTTCATTAAGATATATACCAGCAAACGTTTTACAAAGTAGGTTTGTAAAAGTTCCCAGT